AGTTCTCCAGATACAGCAAACGGTTGGTGATTTTAAAATGTTTTTTATGTACAATACGTTTTGTTCAGTGAAGTATTATTTATCTATATACCTAGTGTTTATCTGAAGTAGGGTTCAACTGATATCTAGCTTTCCTATGTAACGATATACATAGTGCATACATAATAGATATTAGACTCGTAAAATGTAGACTGTTTTTGTAAATATCACTAGGCTCAATTAAATCTTTGAATGACGGCCTTAATCCGACAAGCGAGAGAGACCCACTAAATACTCGCTACTTGTCTAAATACTAACGTAGTGCGAACAAAACATTAAGGTCCAACCAAATCGACCAGTAAAACTCTCTAATTATTTGCGACTTATTCTGATAAGTTACATTTTTTAATTGTAGTTTTACAAGTGTGCGAACCATGCTTCGGTACAAACGAGCCGGTTCAACCTGAATGGTACTGCGGCCTCACAGAAAATTGGTGTGGAATAACGATTGCGTTGTGTTATTCGCCGTCGGAGTGAGGTTGTTGGAGATCCCTCAAAAGACAGGCGACGCATTGGCAACTCCTCTGGTGTTGCGTGTGTCTATGGGCAACGCTAATCGCTTACTATCAAGTGACCCGTTTGTTTATTTGCCCTCTATGAAAGATATTCTGTTACATAGAAATATTTTTATTTTATATTTATTTCGAGTCTACGTATGTACTACGAATTAATCGTATTTTAATGTGTGTGTTGTATTATGAAGTGCTACCTACTTCTGTAAGATTGTGTTGTTTTTGTCACCGATATCTACGTATTTGCATGAAATAAAAGACTGATTGTTGCAACAATGACTCGCTTTCATTTTATTATTATTTATGATTAGCCCGTATTACTTATAGATTACAATTATTTGTTTTATCAGTCACAATTGTTAGCATTTACTGGTGATTTTGTGACCTTATTATACCCTTGACAAATCAAATTCATACAGATGCAATAAATAGGTATGAAATAAGTACCAAACTTCTTATAATCAAAAAGGGCCAATATCTAAGTATGTGATAATATGAGAGAAAATAGGCAACTTTTCCAGCTAAAAAATCGAACCTCTTTTTGTGATCTTAGATGAAGTGGCCCCCGATAGTAAACCTCCGATCATGAGGATGTAATAGACTGGAGATTAATGGAAAGCGTTAGACTGCCTGGGGTGTTATAATCTTAAAAAGAGAGGGGTATCTTATTACTTGACGTTTTAAATTCTCATTATGAGAGAGTTAAAGTACAGATAAAAAAGAGGTACGTAATTGTTAGACACGTTTTGAATAAATGGGCAAAGCTTCACAGACTTCATCATCACGGTGGATGTCACACCCACACACACATGAAGCGCTTCGCATCAAGCTTTTTTATGCGTACTGCTAAGGAGTGGAATTCTTTGCCAGAGTCTGTGTCAGACCTGGGTGTCTTCGAGGCCCGAGTGAAAAGGTTGCTTATTTATGTTATTATCGTAGGTCGCATCATTGCTTACTATCAGGCGAGATAGTGGCTAAACGTTGACCCACCAAATCTTATACTATTATATAAAGCGGAAGAGTTTTTTTGTTTATTTGTTTGAACGCGCTAATCTTCGTAAGTACAAGTCTGATCAATAATTATTTTTGTGTCGGATAGCGCATTTATCGAGGATGGCTATAGCACGTACACATCACGCTACGACCAATAGGAGCTGAGCAGAGCGTGTGAAACCGCGCGAAAGTAGCTACTATATTAAAAATCTAAATATTGATGAAAAACGCATGTCTCTGAAAGTAAATATTTCGGTGAGTGTGCACGCCTCGTGTACGCACTCTGTGCGTATCCACACGTACCACAACTTATTACTGATCGATGCAGATTTATAATTAAAAAATACAGTTTATAATTTAATTAGATATTGATGAGGCTCATGAGGCTTATTGATTACATCTAAGATCTTGTATCATGTTAATTTAGTTAATTTTCCTTAATATTAAATTATGACACATATATGATTGGATCGTAGCTATGTAATTAACTAATTATTTAACATTCTATCATTAATGGGACTTTTCTCGTAGGTAATTGTGACGCCAACCCGTTCGGGGATTTAAGACGTTATGTTGCATGGATAAAGCCCCGTATTCATGGTAAACATTTATTTAGGGACAATTGATCAACATTGTTGGTGAGTTGTGAGAATGATGCTAGCATCTATGTTTAAATCAATACAGGTTGTCTACATGCCAGTCTGCGTTAAAATGTTGCCCGAGGAGGTAGTGTTATTGTCGCTAAACTGATGTTTACGCTCTTTACGCTTGTCGGGCGAGAGCTTGTCAACATGACGCTATCAACTCTGCAACACGCAGTGTTGCTAGCAACATGTTGACAACAATTCTGCAACACGTTGATTCAACTTGGTTGCTAAACAAATGTTTACCATGAATACGGACTTATTATTTCGAGACATATTAAATTGATTGAATTATACGAAAGAAGCTCGACTAATTTCAAGCTAGACCGGAACTCATAATCATGAGCTGTGTCTGTCTGTATAACTGCATGTAGTAAACTCAAAAGTTGATCCTTTTTAGAACAATTAACGTGATTAAGCCGTCTGTGTCAATTACCTATTAAAGTTTAAGATTTTTAGGATATGAAGTAAGTACCTACCTACTAGTGTGCCAGGTTCTAAGCAACGTTCAGATAAAAATAATTGGAGGGATTATGGAAATCATCGAATGTCCCCTCCAGCTCGGAGCGAGAGGGAGTGTCAGACTCTAATGACTACCTCTATATAAAAACCAGCCCGTTCTAACTTCAACATCGAGCCAGAGCCGCAGTCGTTGCGCATCTGCAACCTCGGCCGGGATTACTTAACGACTTTTAGGTTGTTTTCATAATAAATATTGTGAGACATACTAAATTAACTAAAAATCGAAGTCGGTAGGCTGCGCGATATCGCCGCAACCGCGCACTCTGCGCATAAGGAAGAACCCCTCTGTGGTTCGAAACTAGTAGAGCTTTTCTCAGTATATTCACCTGAGTAACTCGCGATTTTTAGTTAACTTATAGGTTATTTATGTTTAGTTATCATGCACACTACCTATCTTATTATAAAATCTCCCGATCAATTTTGATAATGTTCGGTCTAACTAGTCTACGCAGATGATATAGTGCACAAGTGTGCGCGCGAACACAGGTGCATTCTGTTCCCTCACTCTCTGAACTCGATGGGACGGCAGACCGACACGACTGGATAGATCATAACATAACTTCACGCCTTTTTTCCCTGAAGGGGTAGGCAGAGTAGGTGCACATTACGACACTTAATGCCACTGTACAATGTAACACGCACTTTTCACCATTTTATGTCATGAGTCCCATGTAATAGGAGGTGACCTTTTTGCCATATACCGGGCACAATTCCTGACTCCGTGCTACTACTTAGATTTTTTTTAAAACCTAGTAATTCTTTGCCCGACCCGGGAATCGAACCCGAGACGCTTTGCCCGGCAGTCGCACTTGCGACCACTCGGCCAACGAGGCTGTCGAGGAGAGATCATATAATACTTATATTGAAAAATGTCCTTCGAAAAAACAGTAGTAATTTATCAATCAAGCAATGTACGTACCTACCTAGTTATAAGATATCACCTTGTTATCGATAATTAGTTCTTATCACTGCTATATCCGACACTGATAATGAAACTGCTGCGAACCGTAATTTCTTTTTATTATTGCACCGCGTATGTTAATTATTGGAATTGGAAGTTAAGGTCATCACACACAAGTAAAAAAGCATGACTACAGCACGCCTCTAACCCAGCAATTCACTTGTCATTTAAATATGAACTTTAAATCGTATGTCGTATGACATATATCTTAACGAATTGGAATTGTGCCCGGTATATGGCAATAGGCTCACCCCCTATTACATGGAACTCATAACATAAATAGTGAAAAGTGGATGTTACATTTTACAGTGGCATTGAGTGCCGTAATGTGCACCTCTTACCCCTTCGAGGATAAAAGGCGTGATGGTATGTATGTGTATGTATATTTTTAACGTTAATATAGAAAAGCTGTAAGCACGGCGGAATGCGCTTACAACCTTTTTGTATTGTGTAGGTGTGCGATGACCGTTAATCTGTATTATTGGTAAGCAATGTGAGGATGGTGATTAATCACTTCTTTAGGTTGTACTTATCTTATTTAAAATTTTAAGTTACTTATTTAGATCATTCATTATTTTAAAATGAGTAATGTTTCAAAGTCAACGTCAAAGTCACTGCCTTTATAAGGTACTAGCTTTTACCCGCGGCTTCGCTCGCGTCACAAAAGGATAAAAAGTAGCCTATGTGACATATTCCAATACACACAGCGCCATATATACCAATAATTTCGTTTTCCCTCGAGAATTTCAAATTTTTCCGGGATAAAAAGTAGCCTATTATTTAATCCAGACTTCTAACTTCACGTCTGCAAAAATTCAAAGCAAACGTTTTAGTAGTTACGGCGCGAAAGTGGAACAAACAAACAAACTCACTTTCCGATTTATAATATAAGTAAGGATAATCATTTCGGATAAGCACTTTTAAAACCTTGAAATTGAATTGTTGGTTAATCTGTTTGCCAGTATGCAAAAACGTATTTTCGAACGACCAGGTAGCTTCACTAACATAGATTGACAATTCAATGTTAACATCTTGAAGTTGCCTATTTGAGGATATGGATAGTCTACTACACCAAATACCTAACAAAACCATTACACTCCCGTTGCTTCAAGATCTACAAAATGTATGCCAACAACCAGCCAAAAATCATGAGAACAATGAAGCCTAATATGTTTCAGAATAATAAAAAGTAAACAAACTAAAACCTAACTACGGTCACTGGTAACAACTTGGGAATTAAGCAGTTAAATGAAGATAATTTTCATAATGTCTTAAGATCTATATTTACAAATACATTAATTAATTACAGTACAAAACAGATTCATATATTTAAACTTTCATTTTCTTCTTCTTCGGCTTGATGGGCAGTGGACCTCCAATTTTGAAGACAGTGCTGAAAGAAAGACAGACAATTATTATTATTACATGCCTTCTAAGAATTGTAGATTTATCTGATGATTTTTTTGAGATATCTTTTAAATTTCAAATTTTAAATTTGACGTGTATTGCAATTTCACAATTCCTGTCAATTTAAACTTAGGGATAATTATATTCTATGTTTATGTAATAGAGCTTAAAATAAAAGTTAAGTAAATAGTAAGCATGATGGACATGATCGTTGTCAAGCCAGTCGTAGTAGCCAGGAGGTTAAAGACATCATGCATGAGGGTTCGAAACCTACCAACGGCAAGTACCAATGTGTCTTTTTACGAGTTCTATGTACTTTCTAAGATTATTTAGACACCACTGACAAACGATGAAGGAAAACATTGTGAGGAAACACGGGCTTATAATTTCTAATTATAAGTTTGTAATTGCCAACCCGCAATGAGCAAGTGCGGTGATTAATCCTCGAACCTTCCCCGTGTGAGAAGAGGCTCTGCTCAGGAGTGGGCATTTATAGACTGTTGATGATGATGACGGATGAAGGTCGGGTAGCAACAATTTTACTCAACTAATCTACCATCATCGTCACCACTATATATTTATAATAATATATTAGTAGGAAGGAAATGAATTATAATAATATATTGTATACTCACTGGCAAGTTGTGCATATTGGGCTGAACTTGCAGAAAACTGAAAATAAAGACAGTTGTGTTAATATTTGATAGGCCTTATACGGATTTGGTTGCGATGGTATGAAGTAGACATTTAATAAAAGTAATACAGGTAAGACTTGCCTTAAATGTTAATTACTAAAAGAAAATTATTAAAACTATATTAACATATCTGCCATTGTGTAATCAAATTGTGTACTTAATGTACAGACTAAATAAATAAATATATATTAACTATATGTAAAGAAAAAGGTTTTCTTTAATTTTGAATTGGTTACTACTGTCAAATAGTCTTTGGTTTTTTTAAACGTCAATAATAAAAGAATTTTACGTTAAAGAATTTATGTAAGAATAAAACATTAAATGTCGTTTCTTTATTTTAAAAAGCAACACATCAGTATTATTTCATTCTAAATCATAAGATTTAGTCTTATATATATATACGGAGTCCAATTGATTACAAATATACAAAGCGTTTATCATGTTGGGGGAGTGTGGCGTTCAAATTACGCACGAAACAATTCTTTGTGTGTTCTACAAATCTATACCAATATTATAAAGCTAAAGAGTTTGATTTTTTGTTTGTTTGTTTGAACGCGCTAATCTCCGTAACTACAAGTCTGATTTGAATAATTCTTTTTGTGTTGGATAGTCCATTTATCAAGGAAGGCTATAGGCTATAAAACATCTCGCTACGACCAATGGGAGCCGAGCAGATCGGGCGTAACCGCGAATCAGGAGAAAAACCTAGTAAGGGGCAATGTTTTTTCAAAATAAACTCTTATCGTCTAGACCCCCGAGCGTACGGCGCGTCGCGTTCCGCGCGCGCCTCAAAGAGCCATCAGACCACCACAGATGGGGCCCAACAGGGCCGATGCCGATTCGGAGTCGCGGAGAACCTAATGGATAACCGGGGCTCCGGCTCGACGTGCAGGAGAAGGAACGGGGTGGTTTTTAGTCAGTAAGAGTCTGACATTCCCTTCCGCCTCACCCAGGCGGGAGCAGTCATTCGATGATTTTCCCCCCTTAAAAAAAAAAAAAATAAAAATCGTCTAGACTCACCACTAAGACAGACGGAGCACACGTATCCGATGGTGAGTAGCTCGCGGTGACAGAAGCAGGCGGCGCGGTAGTCCACGCGGCCGCGGCCGGGCAGGACCAACTTCGTACGTTCTGATGTCTCGGGGAGGAATACCCACTGTCATATGGAATATAAGTGTTAATATACTTTTTTTTAAACGTTGCGGGTGCGTTTACAAACATACAATTTCACAAACACGACACCCAGACCTGAAACAACAATTGGGGGATCACATAAAGAGATGCCCCGTGTGGGAATCGAACCCGCTACACCTTGCGCGGCAGCCGGTTGTCCAGCCACCGCACCAACCGTGCAGTTATTATATATACAGAATATACGTAACATTGAGTGTATCTTTTAAAAACAAGGTTCACTGTTTACAACTTTTTCTGACAACTAAATTCTAATTAATGTGTTTAATTATTGTAAAAATATAGCAATTTGAACCTTATAACTCACCAATAAGTACTGCAGTAATCCCTCCAGAGAGGGGACTTTGAGGTACAATCCTCCGGTGATGTCACATCCTTGTTGCAACAAGCTGAGGTGTTTATCCAGTGAACACACATCTATAAGAACTTGTTGTTTCTGAAAAATGAACAATATATTCACTTAATATATCTTAGTTTATAAATAACTGTTGTGACGATAGAGTCCCGACTCCTACGGCAGTAGCACTCTCTGATAAACATAACATTACGCCTTTTATTCCTGAAGGGGTAGGCAGAGGTGCACATTACGGCACTGCCACTGTACAATGTAACATCCACTTTTCACTATTTATATTATGAGTGCCGAGTAATAGAGGGTGAGCCTATTGCCATATACCGGGCACATTTCTAGACTCCGTGCTACTGCTTAGATTTTTAAAAACCCAGTAATACTTTGTCCAACCCGGGAATCGAAGCCGAAACCCCTTGCCCGGCAGTCGCACTTGCGACCACTCGGCCAATGAGGCAATCTTAATATGTATATTATAAATTTATAAATAAACTTTGTGGTGACGATAGCATACAACATATTTGACACCACCCACCCTACGACAACGGCCGTGCCCATCTTTAAGCCAAGCGAGGTTATGACAAACCCTCTTATGCAGAGACTTATATGATATTCTAGCCGTGGATAGTCATACTCACAGGCTGTGGTATACCTATGTATGTTTTACTTCTCCTTAACGAAATTAAAAACAACTCCTTATAAAGACAAAACTTATATTAAGATGGTACTTTCTAGTTGTATCAACAGTGACAAGCTGTTGTTGACGATGATCATAGTGATGATGAAGATAATTTTATGTAAATAGTAACATTATCAGAACTTACACACTAGTGTTTTATTTTAATTTTATAGTCAATGATATTATAAATAATAAAAAGAGGTAGATATCGCACTGGCACGCAAAAATTGTTGCGAACGAATTCAGACAATTGTCGTAATTTTATAATAGCTATCTCTTTCTGTACCATACTTTCCGTATTATCTGTCGCACGTAGTTGAAAATGACATTTAAGTACGTTTGTAATAAGAACGCAACAATTTTTGGACGCCGCTTAGTATGAACGTAGCGTATCTTCTTTATAATATCATTGTTTATAGTATTTTAATTTTATTTAGATTGTTACTAAAGAAAATTCTTTATTTGTTGTTTTTAATAAAACTTTACCCCACACTGGGATTCCTGGGACCCAGACCCGGAACAAGAATCAGTGGACCTTACAAATATTTGTTCCAAACGGGAATCGAACCCGCGACAAATTGCATGACAGTTAGTTCCCCAGCCACAGCGCCAACCGTGGAGTCAAAATATAATAATTATAGCGATATTGATGAAGGATGTAAACAAACCTGTGCAGTGAAGAACACATTCATGTAGTTGATGTACTGCGCCGCCGTGTCGCTGCTGCCAGTCACTATTAGAATACGAGCCGTTATACGGAGACCCGGGGTTGCTTCGCGACGGAACTGAAATTATTTTTAAAGGTTAAAGGATTAAGTTACCTGTATTGTAACTTTCGTGAGACATACTAAATAAATTATTATGTTTTCGGCTTACTCACTTGAGTAGCAGCGCGACAGTCGCCGCGTCGCGGGTCGCGAAATGCTGCTCATGAATATGAGCCTCTAGCATGGCTTGAAACTAGTCGAGTTCCTCGTGAAATTATTACGTGAGTAAGCCGAAAACATAATAATTGATTAAGTTACCTGTTACAGCTTACAACTTAGCCTTTTATATGTTGAAACACCGGCTCCAGGTATAAAACATATTATACCCGCAACTTTCAACATACAAGAGGTTAGTGACTGATTTAACTAACTAATCTCTATATGTACATAACCTCACGCCTGTCCTCTTTGGGTTGGGGAGCAGAGACTACATTTTAGCCAATGACTACAATTCTTACATATCTCTTTAGCTTTGTCCACTTCCTAATCTCTATATTTATAACTAATTATTCATTATTTTTGGCTTATTTGTCTTTACATCTACATAATTTATAGGACTAAAAAAATTGTGAAAACTAAATTGGGCCTCCAGTAATCTTACTCACACGACGAAACACAACGCAAGTGTTGTTTCACGTCGGTTTTCTGTGAGGCCGTGGTATCGAAGAAGTACCGAAAAGCATAGCTCTCCCACATGTTAATGTCAGCATTTCAATAAGTACACGAAAAGATGTTTTTTTTATAGTGTTACCATAAGTAACATACCTTAGCAATAAAACAGAGTGCCATAGCGACTGCCCCGGCCAGTAGGGACTCACCAGGCTTCTCCTCGGGAGGCTGGCTTTTTATTAAATTTACTAATCTGGAATTAAAAAATAATAATTTAACTAAGGTTGTTTATTTATTACCTAACTAGCTTTTACCCGCGGCTTCGCTCGCGTCACAAAAGAATAAAAAGTAGCCTATGTGACATATACCAATACACATAGCGCCATCTATACCAATACTTTTGTTTTTCTTCGGGAATATAAATTTTTTCCGGGTTAAAAAGTACCCTATTATTTAATCCGGACTTCTAACTTTACGTCTGCAAAAATTCAAAGCAATCGGTTCAGCAGATACGGCGTGAAGGCGGAACAAACAAACAAACAAACAAACAAACTCACTTTCAGATTTATAATATAAGTAAGGATTACATCAAAACAGCTGAAGGGGTCAGGTTCAAATTTGGAATACGGATAGATTATGGTCTTTTTTTTAAGGGGGAACATCATCGAATTACTTCTTCCGCCTGGGTGAGGCGGGAGTGTCAGACTCTTACTGACTACAAACCACCCCGTTCCTACTCTTGCACTGCAAATCGGAGCCCCGGTAACCTGTTAAGTTCTCCGCAGCATAGATTATAGTCTGGAACAACACATAGGCTACTTTTCATCCCACGGGAACGCGGGCGGAAACTAATTCAATTAATAGTTGTTGATGATAAGACCATTTTACTTTTTAAGCAATTAGATTATTTGTTATACAGGAATTCCTACTACGCCTGGTATATGGCAATAGGTTCACCCTACATGGGACTCATAACATAAATAGTGTTAATAGTATAGTCAAAAGTGGGTGTTACATTGTACAGTGGCATTAACCCGTATATCCCCAAGCGGTCACCGGTGACTGTATACCACTAACTACATTATAGACATTATTTCCAATGTTTAGAGACTACTTTTGTATGAACAAATTTAGGGCACGATTTTCAACAGATTAAGTGCCGTAATGTGCACCTCTTTGGTGATAAAAGGTGTATTCAAGAGATTAAAGTAAAAGATATAATACTCACCTCATTTTGATGGTTTTCTCAACTAATGTAAACAGTTCATACTGGCCATCAATCTGTCGGACATCCAGGGGTTTGCCAGGAGTGGGGTACAAGTATTCACTGAAATATTAGAAAAAAATATGTTATAGCGTGAATGTTTAATGTGTATGTCGCATAATATTAAGTGATTCTGTTTTGATTAAGCTCATAAAGCTGTAAGGTAAAATTCATTGATGTTTAATAAAAAAAAAATTTGATTTTAAAATATGAGTAACAAGCATTGGGTTTTGTTAAAAATTGTTATATGACATTCCATTGCATTTTTTTTAAATGTTGCCCCACAGTAAGATTTTCTCCTGTGTTGTCATCTCGGTTAGTCAGTCAGTTGCCCAAACACGGCGCCAACCGTGCAGTTAACATTCGCAATTTACCACTTATTTTTGCTTGGCTTGTCTTCCTAATTTGAGAAATTATACTATTACAAGTTGTAAATTGTATTTAAGACTAATCATAATTATTTTTACACAGTTTTGCAAATACAACACATACCTTTTGTGAAAATGGCACCCTATAACAGCGAGCTCATTTCTAGCTTTTTGCATCAAATGTGAGTTGGCAAAGGCAATCACAGCATCTAGGCAGTTGGTTAACACCTTCGGGTCCTCAGTTATGTATCTTTGGTTGGGATTTGTATCTACTATTATTACTAGCAGACTGCTGTCCGATGGAGCTGTAATGTTCATAAGATTTTTTACAGAATAATTTTAATAATTTAGTTTTCTAGATAATTCCGGGTGTGGGTTTATGAAAAAAATGATAAAAACTTGTTGTAAAACATGGTTAACAAGGGAGAACATTGGATCAAGTTTTGAATAATACATTGAACGAAAACAATTACTAAAAACTTTCAGTAGAAAATAATCTATTAGGAATAAATTATGTATTTGTATGATATTTTTATAAAAGACATTTTAGATATAAGTAAATGGAAGTCAAAACTATAGTTATCTCCTTAACTATATCATCTATATAGTTACTCCAATAAAGTTTCTTCACGTTTGAGGTTATTTTGTACAATATAAACTTACCATCATCGTCTGCCATTTTATTGTAGTTAGTGCTTTACACAATGGACAAATAAGTAAAATGAGTTTGATGCTTGATCACAATTTAGTATTTTATTTTTTATAAAAACCAACAACAAAATCACTACAACCGATACAACAAACACAAAATAACAACTTTGACGTTACATTTGACAATGACATTTATGACATTGACATATGTTTTTTCTTTTTTTTCCATTGGCACTGAGTCTTTATGCAAATGTTTTTTTTATATTTCATGGGCCGACATCGGCCATTATCTCGCCGGGTTATAAGCGATGATGAAGCCTACGATGGAGCAACCTATTAATTTGGGCCGTGAAAATACCCAGGTACCCACCCTTCAGGAAACATAATAAAAGGTTTTAGCCAAGGTTTTTTGCATTTAGTAGCTCTATTTTCAGATATTTTCTGAAAATTGTTTTAATTTTCTGAATAGTTTAGGGAATTGAGTATAAATATTAATAAGTTGTGATTTTCATTGTAGAATTGGTAGTAAACGATAATATTAGGTAAAATATAATCTTCCACAGTAATAATCAAGTTTTGGGAAATGAGATAAGTACTAATTAGTTATAGCTATTGCAATCGATCTGAATATTTCACGATTATAAGTTCATTAAACTATTTAATTAAACCTACATTTAATAGCATTTAATAGCTTAGGTGCCATTAGAATAATTGCTTGATTGACGATTTGAAAATATATAAAAGTCGAATATCTACTGTGTGACATGAATTCATCATCTACTTAATTATAAAGTCCAAAGCACAAAAACTATATTGGTAGGCGAACAGTAATAAAAAGATAAATATAAACCAAATAAAAACAACAAAATATCAATAGTTAATTGATATTAACAAACTATTAACGATATGTCTACAGAGCGTAGCGTTTATTAATTTAAATAATTGTTTAGAAAGCACCTGCGGACAGATGTCAGTGGCAGTAAGATACATATTTGTCACAGGCGCATTCCTTGCATAGTTTGGGTATGGTCATACATCATGGTACAAGACCAATCAGTTTGACTCGTGCCCGTGATGATAATCATCGGACGACTAAAGAATTGGATGGACGTTACTTTGTTGCTCATAGTGATGCCATTGTGTTTATTTTATTAATTAACTAATCATTCCTCTGGCTTCACTTGCATTTAAAATTAACCTTTTATTTTTCTTGGTACCTATTTTGGGATGTGTTTCAGTGATTTTGCCAGTTTGCGAAACACAGAATCAAATGCTATTTGAGTATATTCATAATAATTTAGTACACTTAAGTTCTTAAGTCATAAATGAGGGTAAGGTACCCATTCGTGGAGCCCTTGCCTCTGTCACAAAATAAAGTGCCAATGTAACATGCGGCTACCTCAAGAATACTAAATTATGGTAATATATTAGGTGGGAGAACCATGCTTCGGCACGAATGGGCCGGCTCGACCTGAGTGATAGCACGGCCTCACAGAAAACTGACGTGTAGCTTCGTCGTGTGAGTGAGGTTACGGGAGGCCCAATTACCCCCTCCCCCCAATCTCCGAATCCCCTACAATCCTCAAACTCCTAACCTCCAATAGGCCGGTAACGTACTTGTAACGCCTCTGGTGCTCTAGGTGTCCATGGGCGCGAGGTACTTAAATTAATTTTGCGCCCCGTAATTTTGATCGTGAATGGACGTAATCCGAATAGTTTAAAGGTAAAACCTTAATCCTAGATCTCATCTGAACCAGAGCTGCAGAAGACCTAGCGGGTTGCCGGGGCTCCAGCTCGAAGTGCAGGAGTAGGAACGGGGTAGTTTTTAGTCAGTAAGAGTCTGACAATTCCTCTCGCCTCATCCAGGCGGGAGAAGTCATTGGATTTCACCCTTCAAAAAATCAGACCCAGAAAAACAATCTGCGGATCACACAAAGAGTTAAAGAGTTGCTTCGTGCGGGAATCGAACCCTCGACACGTTGCGCGGCAGCCAGTTGCCAGCCACCGCGCCAACCGAGCAGTCATTAATTTTTACAAACTTGAGCTCATACATACAAACTCACAATGTTTATTAGTTAATGCAGGTATCCTTTTTTATTGTGTTTAATGCCTAGGTATTCGACATGGCTGGTTTTCTAGCACAAGCTATTTAAATGTGTCTATGGTAATTAACAAATAAAAAGTGACATGTGGCTTGTCTATGGTCAATATTAGCATATCTTCCCTTAGTTGTTTACTCTCATGTAAAGTTTTTTAGGAACTATACTCTCTGTTCCCTAAAATTTAACTCACAACGGAAAATAAATATTTTTGATTTGCTCACGAGTCGTGCCGTTTTTAGGGGAACTGCCTTCTGTATCAGGCCCTTGATATTAAAACCGGGAGATGTATACGGAAACTTGTCCCAGAAAATTGCTTACAACATTTTTCGTTGAAATTGTTGTTAATTTGCATTCGTTGTTGTCGTTTTAATTGCTTCGCTGTTTTTTCTATCTTAATTAAAGATGTAGATAAATTATTTTGTCTGACAAGTTACAAGCGGGTTTATCTTGTTTTGTTTCAGGTAGGTACTTAACAAAATGTTTTTATCTGTCGGTTTAGTTGGTGATGCCAACTGTCGATAACTAAAACATTCGTTGTTCGATTTTCAAAAACTGCATTCATTATAAAATATTTCTAAAAACAAAAAGGATACCAATTATAACGAACATTAGCGCGATTGTGTTGATTTTGTTATAACTGGATTCAAAATGTACTAGTAGGTACTATTTACATACTGCGAAGTAAAAGCTTTCATCTAACTAACTAAAGCTTAAGACTACCTATTTTTCATTTAAGAAAAGCTCAAAGTAAATACACAAAGGCGTGCATTTTCCACGTCTGGCTCTATTACAAGAACAAAACAAAACGTTACCTATGAATAACAACAAATTCTGACGTCACAACACCACCATTACATTGATTTACACGAGTCCGTTTATCAACGAACGTAAGACGGGAGCTTATTATTACATCCGAATTGTATTTCATCGTAGCGAGATGACAAACCGGCGATACGGCGCCAAACTTATGTCATCTGTCAAAATACATGTTAACAGTACGAAGAACGGTAGATGAGTCGAGACGATAACACCCTCGGAACAATAACTAAAGCATGGAAGCCAGGCTAAAATAACAACTACAATCCATATATTCATCTTTTTTTTACTTATGGTATTGATAGTGTATAAGAAAGAGACATGTGTATTGTTTCGTTTCGTTATTATGCAGGTTGTCACTACTTGTAAATATGCTAGTGATGGAATAAATTAATATATTTTATCGACAAATTATGGTACCTGAAAGTATTGCTGCTGTAGTTTATTAGGTTCTTAATCTGGATGTCGTGGGTTCAGAAATAAAACACAATATTAAAAAGATAATTTAATTGCTCACAAACAAAGCATATTTACAAACCGTGGTAGTGGTGTACTATTATGTGTTTATCATTGACTTTTAAATATAATTGTCTTTGTTAAATATGTGCGAATTTTTTCGGTAGGTACAGTCAAATTTTTAGTTATATAATGTAATAATATCCTAAGTTTAAAATATTTTTGTGCTATGGACTTTATAAGATTTCTGTGATCATCATAGAAAGACGGCAACACATTTGCTGAAACTTTATTAATCAATCTAATAATTATTTTGGTTTACCGAGAGATTTTGAATCAATATGCACTTGATATTGTCTTATAAGTTTTTCGGACAGTTGACAGATCTTGTTTAAGCCATATGTTGGTTTAAATAGGCCTCCTCTATATGTAAGATATCAAAGATCTTTAAGGAATACTCTCCGTGTTCTCAAGAGTTTCTATGCATTTTTCGCATTGTAAAGATTTTTTAATTTCATTCCGATAAAGCCGATTATGTATTCTATGACATTTTTAGAATATCCCGTAATAGATGATGGATACAAAAAGTAGTCGTATTCTGTCAAATCATCAAAAGCATCATGTGATTCGGGCTCTAAACGACGTCTATACTATAAAGAACTTCAAAGCCTAACTAAAATATCGATATGCAACATGACCACATCACTAGCTTAAAAACTAACTTAGAAAATTGATTTAGATTTTTTAGGAAAAGATGGAATAATACTGTTTAGGCTTACAATTGAAAAGTACGACAGTAAATAAGTAACATTTATTTATAGTTTACCGGTATTTCCAGTATAATTTATTTTAAAACATATCAAAAACTTACAAATGAAAGTGAATTATTTCAGCATTGTTTTCTTTTCTTCCTAAATGGGAATTGCAGCCGTCAATCACACAAGACGTATTTTTATTATGTAAAACACATAATACAGAACGACCATACACTTTCTTTCTTCCTTTCTTTTGCGCTAATTCCTTAGAAAATATTTTTTATTAACAGGAGCCGTAAATACAACCACGGTGACACTTCAGTACTATAATCCGGCAAAGTGAGGAAGGTGTCAAACTTGAGTGAAACATAGAACGTCAAAACGTGATTTTGAATTTGGTAGTATGCTGAATGAGTCCAATGACATAAGATTGTAATGAGTCCACTGAAAGTTGTGACAACCTGCAAATTATCAGAACTATGTTCAGTTTGCGGTCTCATTCTCGCCTACGCAAAATCGTGTAAAGAGCGAGAGCATCAGATATATGTTTGTAAATTGCTATTTTAGCCTGGCTTCCATGCTTTAGTTATTGTTCCGAGATAACACCACATGAATAATATAATACCAACGATGTGACAAGCTCTGCTACCTGTCATTTTACGACATTGTTTATACACGGCTAATGATATGCCTCATTTGAATGCCTTGGTGGTCTGGATAGAAAAAACTACCCAGTTTTTGTTAACCCTGCCTTTACAGACTTCGTAATATAGTATGTAAAAGCTCGACTTAAATGGAAATTGAGACGACGTAACCAAGTATTTATTAATTTCCACAGTATTTTGCGTCCGAATATAATTAACAGTTCAAAAACTAATCAGTGTATTAAGAGGGCAGGC